CTCTTTTCTAGGATATGAAGAAAGAAAGAAACCAGATAGGGTCCTGGTGACTGTGGGTATAACTGTGAACTTAGGACCTGAGGGAAGAAAGATTTTCCTGAGGACATGGCAAACAGGAAATTAAAAGCTCATTGCTATTAGTGATGAAGGCTAGAATCCCTAGAACATACAAAACTTGGGCTGCTTTCCTTTAAAATAAGGAGAATAGTTATTTCAGTGATGAGAAAGCAGAATAAATGGCTACATTTTCTTCCTTTACCTGAAGAAACATGTGAGGCAAGGGAATTCTCATTCTATTCGATGAAGTTAGAGCAAAAAGACCCAAAGAGAACATGTTTTTCTAGTATTTATTACAAAACACCCTGCATAGAAACCTGCAGTAATTAGGTCTACACTAAAATGTAGATCTTTCCTCTCCAGAGAAAGGCAGCTAGGTGGCAAGTAGATAGTGCAGAGTTTAGAAGACCTGAGCTCAAGTCAGACTTCAGACATTTATTACCTCTATGACCCTGGACAAAGTCATTTAACCTACCTTTCTCAGTTTCTTCAAATGAAAAATAGGAATGATAACATCACCTACCTGGAAGAGTTGTGAGGATCATTCAGTTATTTATTATAAACAACTTAGCACAATGACTGGCATATAGTAGGTGCTTTATAAAGGCTTGTTTCCTTCCCTCCATCCTTCCTTCTTTTCTTCCTTCCTTCCATCCTTTTCTCCATTCTTCCTTCCTGATTCAGCAGCAATAGCACATAGCTATCTATGGTCCTACTCATACAAAAGGCCATTCTCTCATCCCAGTCATTTTTAAGAGTCCTGGTCCCAACAGGAGATGAGACTCCATTCTAGTCAATCAAGTCCCTGTTATTGAAGGTCTTTTAGAGCTGCTCTGGGATGGGATAACTCCTTTAGGATTTCTAGCTCTCATCTTCTCTCCACACAATTACAATCAACTGATGATATCAAAAAAGAAGAAGATGGAAGTCAGAGTGGGGAAATCTAGCTGTGATAGCATAAGAGAATGGGGGCTGATGGGCCAAGAAGAGAAGAGACACCAGGAAAGGTGGGGGAGCAGAGCTCAATAAGGGAAAAAAGCCAAGTGAAGGAGGGGAAGTGAGAAGAACCAGGTGGAGAAAAGTGTAGGATAAGAACAGCCAGGAGAAGGGGAATGAAAAGAGACACAGAAAGGTGGGGTGGAGCCAGACATCTGTTTGTTCTTCTGCCACACTGCCAACCTCTCTCTTCCAGCCTTAGACCAAAGAGACTCCTGGAGGGCACCACCTCTTTCCCCAGATATCTCTCTGACCCTTTCTTCCAACCCCCCAAATCTTCTCTATTCTTCTCTCCCTCATCTCTTATCCTCTCCTTGGCCCTTTCCCCTGTGACATCTCACAGACTCGTCCTTACCTCTTCGCCTTCACTCTATCTGATTTCTCCAGATTGCCTCCACCTTTAGACATCTCCCTCTCAGTTTCCTGAGCTCCTCATACAGGACAACCAGAGCACTAGACCACAGCGAGACCCACAGTATTATTTCAATACTCCTGTACGCCTAAGACCCTCTTCTGGCTGCAGTCACCCCTTGAATTGGATCAGTAAGGTTCACTTTGTACCACCCTTTAATTTGATTGGCTGAAGTTGACATTAATCTCATAATAATACACTTTTTTTAACCTGAAAAATCCCTTCCTAAATCCATAGTTTGTATAGATTTTGCTAATATGCAAATGATTATGCAAATATACATAGGACCATAAATTTAGAACTAGATCATTTCTCCCTATCTTTTCTTCTTAATGTCACAGATGAAGAAAAGGAAGCCCAAATTGATAAAGCAACTTGCCCAAAGGCACACAGGTTGAAATGGCAGCCTTTGAACCCATATTCCCTGAATCCCAAACCTGTGCTCTCTGTACAGTATCACACTGCCTCTTAGCACAATACAGTCTCCTCCTGTGCATGTCATAAACCAGTGAAGCCCACTGGAGCATATAAATGCCTTATACCCAGTAAAAGGTGCTCTATAAATGCTTTGATTTATGCTAGAATTTGAGAGATAGTGGAATGAAAGCTAATTTTAAATCCTACTTCAGACTCCTTACTAGGTGGGTAGTGACTCCGGAAAAGCATTTAAGTTCTTTGACCCTCAGCTTCCTCCATGTGAAATGGAGATACTAACAGCATCTAACTCAAAAAATTGTTCCCAGAATCAACTGAAATAAGATATATAAAGTATGTGGCAATTTTAAAGTGCTCTATGTTAGCTATTGTGATGACATCCTCTCTTCCTGACTTCTAGCATTTATTGTATGTATTGTTAATTTGGGGCAGCTAGTTGGTGCAGTGGATAGAGTGCCACACCTGAAGTCAGAAAGATTCATCTTCCTGAGTTCAAATCTGGTCTCAGACACTTATTAGTTGTGTAACCCTGGGTTAGTCACTTAACTCTGTTTGCCTCAGTTTCCTCCTCTGTAAAATGAGGGGGAGAAGGAAATGTCAAACTGCTCCAGTATCTTTGCCAAGAAAACCTCAAGTGGAGTCATGAAGAGTTAGGCATGACTGAACAACAAATTGTTCGTTTGACTTTATCATATGCTGCTCTGTGGTACGATGAATCTTTGCCTCCCTAATTTTATTGTAAGCCCCTTACAGGCAGAGATAATATTTTATCATTCCTTCTATCTCCCTTACATTATACAGTTCATTGAAAATACTCGGGTTTCCTTAACTGTTTATCACCCAGTAATGATACAGCAAATGTCTTGTTTATGATTTCAGAGCACTGCATGACCTGTAATGTCCCTTCCAACTCCAAAATTCTGTGATAGTTTAATTTCTCACCATAGCCCTGTAACTTAGGATGATAACTACTGCTGGCCTAATTTTCATCATGGAGAAACAAAGGCTAAGTGAATTGTTCACAGTCACCTAGATAATTTCTAATAATTTCAGCTTTGCAACTAGAATTCAAAGTTTTTGATTTGTTCTTTCATTACTAGTGCATGTCACACCATGTTGTTGCTATAAAATAAATTAGTTAAAATCAGATGAAAAGTCTAGATCCCATTTTTGGAGGGAGGGAGAGAATGGGACAATGATTAAAAATGGTAGCACAAGATGGTGAGTGTGGAGAATAGAATACAAGTCTCTGTTATACCCTTTACCCTCATTCTAATGCTACACTCTATACCAGGGGTGAGGAGGCCTTAAGGCCACATGTGGCCCCCTAGGTCCTCAAGTGTGGCCCTTCACAGAAATTTGAATTCAGTCAAAGGGCCACACTTGAGGACCCAGAGGCCTTGACGCCATAGGTTCCCCACCCCTGCTCTATACCCTACTACACTTTCACATCCCTACAAAGCACAGACTCCCATAATGCCACAGCTCCCCAGTTTCAAGAGCTGAAACATGACTTGAGTCTTAAGTGGCAGAAGTTTGCTTTTTTTCTTCTTCTTAATATCCTCAGCTGTTTAGCATGGTACCTGACAAAAAGTAGGCTATTACTAAATGCTAGTTGATTGATTAAATCCAGTTTGCTTTCCTCAGCCAGGTGAGAAGGCTCCAGCTGTCAATGAAGCTTTAGGGTGACTTTCCAGTGTGATGTATCCTCCGGGGGAAGGAAACAAACATTTTATCAAGTACTTCTTATGGAGTGTTCCATGTTTTACTGTGAACCAGTCACTTTACCAATCAATAGTTGATCTGAACAACCCTGGAAGGTAGGTGCTATTATTATCCCCATTTTACAGTTGAGGAAACTGAGTCAAATAGAGGTTAAGTGACTTGTCCAGGATGTCTTCCTGACTCCTGGGACAGTTAGCAACCTGTCTCAAATAAAGTAGAAAGTGGTTATTATGTTTGCTCAGTGGAAGTGGGATGCATCTCAGAAAAATAATTGTGAAGGTGCTCTTTGACTGGAGTGCAAGGGAGGCCTGTCTTTCAAGAGGCTGCCGGCTTAATGTTCCCTGCTTTGCTCTAGGGCTGTTGATTTGAATGGAAGTAGGGGAAAGCAGTCACCTATGTTTCCCAGTGGGTATAAAGAGTCCTTAAGAGGGCAACATTTTGATTCAGTGCTAGCTAAACTTGGAAATTCCAAAGGACTTCAAAGCAGCGTGGTCCAAATAACCTTGCCCACAGGCCATGTTGCCTCTCTTTTTCCTAGTCGCTAGCCGCTCCCCTCCTCCTTATCCTGCCCCATCCCCCTCTCCTCTCCTCTCTTCTATTTGCGCTCAGTCCTTCAGTAAAAACAAGCTTATAGTTTCCGATATGAGCAATGGCTAAAGGCCATCTCCCTTTCTCAATCAAACGGCATACCTGACGAGATGTAATAGAAAGTAATGGATTTGGATGTCAGACGGCGTCTTGAAGCAAGCCACCTCACTCCTGAGTGTGTTTTCTCAACTGAAAATAAGGGAATCAGGCTGAATGATCTCTAAATCCTATGCTCTGCCTATATATGTGTGTGTATATATATATATATATATATAATATATATATACACACACACACATATACATACATACAGTATATATGTACACATACATGCATACAGTATATATATATACATATATACACACACAGTATATATGTATACTGGGAGTAGGGAATGTAATTTTAGGGATAGAAATAATAAGAGAAAATGGAAGCGTTTGTGACCCAGTCTTTGCGAGTGAAAGTTTTCAGTAGGTGTTTGGAAAGAAATCGGTACAATAACTTTGGAGTGGTCCTGTTTGTGGAGTGTGTGTTAAGAAGGGATAGTAGATTTTGGGGAAGGAGGAGATGGATACTGGGGGCTTTAGCTTGGAAAGGGCAGGCTAGAGCGCGGGGAGAGGAGGGGGTCTGGAGAGTATCCCGTGGTTTCCACGGCGATGGGCTTGAGGTAAGGGGCCTGAATCCTGTGGCGATACTGCGCAGAACAGAAAGCAGGGACTTGCCAGCTAAGTGTGAGCGGGCCAGGGGAGGGGGCGGATCACGTGTGTAAAAGGGGGTGGGACCCAGAAGTTGTTCCCGGTGCTATTTGAGTGACTGCAAGAGGGATCGGGGTCTCCCGACTGGGCTTCAAGAACTGGAAGCCGGGCACTGTCTCAGTGAGAACAGGAAAGCTGTAGGGGTTCAAAGCCAGAGGTGACAAAAGAGAAGCAGAGGCATCAGCTGAGACCCCAGTGCGAGCAAAAAGAAAGTGGTAGCCGAAGACTAGGCTGAGAGGCGAGCCCCGAGTTGTCTTGTATTGACTTCGGTGCTCCCTTTTCCCCGGTTTAGCGACTGAGTGGCTAAGCTGATTGATTTTCTCTTGGAGTAAGATATTTGTTTGTTGTTGTTTTTTCATTTTGGGAGGAGGACAGCCCTGTAAGCACTGAGTCTTCCTTAACGTGAGGCCAGAAAGGGTCATCGTGAGAGGGAGGCAGGGAGCCCAAGGCACCTGAATAATAGGGAAGTAGGGATTAGTGGGGGACAGTGAAGTTTGTAGACATGGTGAGTGTGACTTCAGTTCCCACCACTGCCGAAGCGCAACCTCAGCAGCCTGAAAAGGAATCCACTACGGAACCCGATGTTTCAGCCGCCGCAGAACCCGTTAAGATCAAGGTGTCCAGACTTCGCTGGGTGATCGTCCTGTTGTTCAGCTCCTATTCTCTGTGCAATGCCTTCCAGTGGATCCAGTATGGTGCTGTTAATAACGTCTTCATGCACTTCTATGGGGTCAGCGCCTTTGCCATTGACTGCTTGTCCATGAGCTTCATGGTGACTTATATCCCTTTACTCTTCCCTGTGGCTTATCTTCTGGAGAAATATGGCTTACGTACCGTCGCTCTCTTGGGGTCGGTCCTTAACTGCTTGGGCGCCTGGGTGAAAGTGGGCAGCTTGAAGCCGAATCTCTTTGCCGTCACCGCTCTGGGGCAGTTTTTCTGCTCTGTTGCCCAGGTCTTCATCCTTGGCATGCCCTCCCGCATTGCTGCCGTCTGGTTCAGTGAACGGGAGGTTTCCACAGCCTGCTCTCTGGCTGTCTTTGGCAATCAGGTAGGTACACTAACGAGTGTCAGGATAGCTCTTTGCTTAGTGTGTATATGTGTGAGGAAAGTATGAGGAAACTGAGGGGAGAATTGGGACCCTTCTCTTTTTCAGCTAAAGAGCAGTATTGCTCCCGGGAAGGCAAAGTCTCTGGAGTTTTGTCTTAAATTGTGCGGGGTAAAACCCACAGCTTGTTTCTACCTCCTCCCTAGTAAGCTCTAGCACCCTGGCCACTTTCAGGCTTTTGACAGTACAGTAAAACTATTTTAAATATCATACATATATGCACATATACATGTTTGTGTTTGTGTATTTCTATATCTATATTGTCATCTCATGTTAGTAATTAGTGTTCTTAGCAGAACAATCCATTCTAGAGTGCCATATTTCACTGGGGAGGGGGGAGAGGGGAATTGTCAAGGCTGAATTTTACAACCTGTATTCTGGTAATGGTGATACTTTGTGCACAATCCACATTTACACCAAGTTTTAAACCAGTACAGTGGGAATGACATATGATGGAAAGCATTTCTGGCACAATCAGTTCACATCTCACGTTTCTTGCTATTATCGCTTAATACAAATAACTACCAATTTCTTTACAACTCCAGGTTGTGTAGGTGGACCGCAGAAGTGAGAGGGAGAATTGAAACACTTATTCAGGCCCAGTAATTAAAAAAACAATAACAGAATAAAACTTCTGACTGACTTATTCAGTTAGCTGAAGGGAAAAATTTCATTGACAATTTTTATGTAGATCACTGCCTCAGTATTTCATTTCATATTGTGAAATTTCACATTTCACATTTAACATATTTAATGAACTAGCTAGTAACATCCAGGTCTTCTAGGTTTGTCCTTGCTTGCCTGAGATTGTCAGTACAAAATTGTTGTTTTTGGTGGAAATTTTCCATACACTCTTGCTGCCCAAAGGTGAATTCCCATTCTGACCAGCTCTACCACAAGGTGGAAATTTTGAGCTAAATTTAAATCTTAAACTTTTTATAGTTAAAAGAGACCTTTGAGATCATTTCATCCAATCTTCTCATTTCACAGATGAGTAAACTTGCTTGGTGCCACATAGTTGGTTAGTAGCAGAACCAGAACCTGAACCCAAAGGGGTCTTCTGGCTCCAGGTTTGCCCTTATCTACTTCTGATTTACTAATTTGGATGGGTATTAGAGGAACTAACCACCTTTAGTATAAAAACAAAAATCATCCCCCACATTTTTCCTATGGCTTATGTTCCTTGAAAAATTAAATTGAGGGCTTGTTATAAAATCAGATGGATTTTATGTTAGAGATAATTTTAAAGTAATTTTGGGCATTGTGTTTATTCTTCATCTCTTCTCTTCCCCTCCCCCCAAGTATTATAACTTAATTTTAATGGCTCTAAAGCATGATATACATTTTTACCAGTTTTAGGAAGTGGTTTAAAGCCTCAAACTGGACATGGTGGGGAGTGGCTTAAATTAGATTTAATCAATCAAAAAGCCTTTAGTAGTAACCTACTGTTTGTCAAGCACTGAACTAGACCGATGAGAATATTAAGGAAAAAGAAAATAAACTTCTATTTAAGACTCACGCCCTGTTTTTTAGCTCTTGAAGTTGGAGAGCCATGGCATTATTAGGGAATATATGCTTTGCAAGGTGTAGGGGTATAAGGGTGCAAGAAATTCAGTTTATACTACCACTCAGTTCATTCTAGCATGACCAGCAGTCATGATTCCAGTAGAATTAAGGCCTCAAGTTCCATACCTGTTTGAAAAAGGTAGAAGGAATACCTAGGTTTGGCCATCTTAGCTGGCACAAGTCGAAGACAGAGAATCTGGCATTTGTTTTTCCTTTTAACAGTAAATGTCAGACTAACAGTTTGTTTTCTTAAAACCTGTTAGGGGATGTAAATTTAAAAACATGTCTTTGAAACTTAAAATCACAGTGTTTATTCATGACATTCCTCAGAGTTAGGAAATGCTAAGATTCTTATAACAAACTTATTCATGCTGTGAACCCTTGATATTTTGACATCCCAAAGCAGTCTGTTTAGTGCTATCTTTGGGAGTACATGATGTGCTGAGTTAAACATTATGAGGCATTTGGAAGTTTTTCCTTCCTTACTTTATGAAGTTTGTATCCCATGTTTCCCCCCCTTTTTTTGTGAGCATCCTGAATGAATAGGTGAGTAATAAAAGTAAAACATCTTGAGTTGTACTTGAAAGGAAGGTATTTGGGGGAGTAGAACAGCCTTAAAAAACAAACCCCACAAACCATTCCAATAATAAAAAATTAATTTGGCTTGCAAAAAAATTGGTCCTGCCCACATGCAACTGTGCCAACCACTCGGATCTTAATAATCCTTACCTCCTTTTGTTGTTCTCTACCTGTTTATATTAAACATACTTAACGTTGAACCTTGGAAGGAGAATCAGAATATATGAAATGCCTTCTCACTTGTCTTCCTGATTTTCATTGCTTATTGCCCAATTAAATCTTAGCCTTGAATTACTTTTATGTAAAGTGCCTTGCTAATTTTAAAGAGTTCAATAAATATTATTATTCATTATTATTATCCTTGTATAATTGGACCAATATTTTTTCATTGCATAGAGGTTACCCTAGGCTCTCAAAAGCTATGCTTAAAGAGCACAATCTCTGATAGGTTCTAACAATTGGTAGAATCAGATTTAGAACTAGAAGAAATTAGAAAGAGTTCCTTCCTTTTAGGCTTTCCCCCCTCATTTTACAAATGAAGAAACTGAGGTTCAGAGAACTGGAAGGACTTATCTAAGGTCACTCAGATAATAAGTGGCAGAGATGGGATTTGATTTCGTGTATTCTTGATTCCAGGCCCAATATTCTTTCCACTGTATCACACTACCTCTAAGATGCAATTCAGTTCATTCAACAAACATTTATTAGATGCTTACTCTGAGCAAGGAAGGTATCATACTAGGTCCTAGTGATACAAAGACAAGAATGAAACATTTATCCTCAGGGGGTTTACATTCTACAAGCAGAGTACACTTTATGTACAGAGATGTCAATACAAAGTATAGGGAAATTTATTATGATATGATATTCCTATGTTGTTGTTGTTCAGTCATTTTCAGTTGTATACGACTCTTTGTAAGCCCTTTTGGGGTTTTCTTGGCAAAGATTTTGGAGTGGTTTGCCATTTTCTTTTCTAGCTCATTTTACAGATGAGGCCAACAGGGTTTTAAGTATCTAAGGCCAGATTTGAATCTGGCTTCCTGACTCCAGGCCCAGTCCTCTATGGACCGCACCACCTAGCTGCCCGTTCCTGTATTAGAGGTCTTGAAAAGTCATAGTTGCATATGAGAGAACCACATGAAGAACAGAGTTCTAGTCTGATTATCACTGCTATTCATATAATACAGTATAGCAGACTGGGCTGCCAAGTGGCCTGGTGATAGAGGGTCAGGAAGACTTATCTTGCTGAGGTCAAATCTGTCCTCAGACACTTAGTAGCTGTGTGACCCTGGGCAAGTCACTTAACCCTGTTTACCCCAGTTTCCTCATCTGTAAAATGAGTTGCAGAAGGCAATGGCAAACCACTCCAATATCTTTGCCAAGAAACCCCCTGATTGGGTCATGAAGAGTCCTACAGGACTGAAAATACTGTATAACAACGAGAAGACTAGTGAGGATTTTCATTGTCAGTATTATCACCCAACAGATCAAGTGAGATACAATGTAGATAAAATGTTGCATGACTCTTAAAGCACTACATAATTTTCATCTATTATTAGTATCTTAAAATAACAATGTACCAGGTGGGGATCTTGATGGGGGGGGATTTAGAGACCAAAATTAAATAGTCCCTGCCCTCAAGGAGTTTATATGCTACCAGAGAAAATGATGTGTGTATATAAGTATAAATCAAAATAAGTACAAGGTGATTTCAGGGGTATTAGGGGGGAAAGGCACCATAACTAGGGGATCAAGAATAGTCTTGTGTAGGAAGTGGCACAAAATCTGAGTTTTAAAGGAAACTGGGAATTCTAAAAAGGAGGTGAGAAGAGAGTGCATTCCGGGAATAGGGCACAGCCAGTTCTGACGAAATGCAATGTCAATAGCAAAAAGACCAGTCTGGCTGGATCATTGAATGAATAAACTGGTATAATGTCTTAATAAAACTGGAAAGATCAGCTGTGAATGCCTTCAAGGGCCAGGGTAGTTTGTTTTCGATCTTAGAGGCAATAATGAGCCACTGGAGTTTATTGAGAAGGCAATGATATGGTCAGACCTGTGCTGTAAGAAAACCACTTCCATAGTTGTGTGGAAGCTTTTCTGGAGCCCAGTCAACAGTAATTTACTGAGCACTGACTAGGTGCTAGCCATTGTGCTACAAATACAAAAAGAAATAAACCTGACTCTTAAGGAGTTTGCATTCTATTAGGGGAGACAAGTACAAGTAAATACAACATTAATATACATATGAAATATGTCACTGAATAAATAGCAATAAATAAATATTAAGAGAACACATACTATGTAGGGATGGAGGGAGTAGTGAAATGCATCATGTAGGAGATGGTGCTTAAGCTGCCTTTTGAGAAGATAGAAATTTTATGAGGTAGAACTGAGGGGAGGTAGGGAGAGAACGCATTCTAGGCATAAGGGATGGAGCCAGTAGATTCAGTGTTGAGAAGTTTAGGCTGGATCACAGATAAGGTATAATGAGGCTGGAAAGATAAGTTGAGGTCAGGTGGTAAAGGATTTTACAAGCTTGGCAGCACAGATTAAGCCTTATCCTAGAGGCAATCAGTAATGACTAGAGTATGCTGAGTATAGTGGAATAAAATAAAGTATATTGAGTATGAGGATAAGTCAGACCTATAATTTAAGAAACTCTCTTTGGCAGCTCTGCAAGGGATGAATTAGAGTAGAACTAAACCCAATCATTCCTTTGCCTTGGGTTCTTTGTAGCCTGTTGCCTCAGAGCATAATAACAAGTTTTTGGAAACCTTTGTTTCATATATTCAACA